GTTTAACGGCAGCTGGCATCCTTGTTCATGCAGTGCTGCCATCTTCTGTTTCAGTCTGTTATTACACTCTTAAATCCTACTACCGGTACTTATTCCTGCGTCTTTTGTGATCTTACAAAGCTTCAAACGACGCGTCGACTATTAAATCAGTCGTCGACGATTTTGATAGTCGACGTAATCGTGACTAGTTGACTAATCATGGCAGCACCAAACACAAGCAATGAATGTCTTGCTTTATTAAAACAGGAAAAAAGCTGCTTTGCTCGGGTTTTCAGTTTGATCAAACAACTGCAATAGAAAATTAAAGAAATTGGCTATTATTTCTTTTCAAGATAACTCAAAGAGTGAAGTTGGAGAACCTGTAAAAGCTTTGTACAGTCATGACTCTTTGCACTGTGAAAAAACAAGTGCACTCTGTGATTCAGCAGCTTGTAGAGCTGTTTTGTGGCAAAAGTTTGAAGTAATGGTTCTCTGTATGACTTTATCAGACTCTGTCATTACTATAGATACATTTTGGTCCACACTTCTTTACAGCGTTGCTTAGGTTCATTCATTTGCAGCCTTCATGTGTGCACAGGTCTTTGAAGGCCCCACCACAGCACCTGAGTCAAGCTGAGGTCTGGACTTTGACTGGACCATTGCAGTACTTTGGTTATTATTATTATTATAATTTTTTTTGTCATTCTGTTGGAGATTTGCTGCTGTTCTTTGGATAATTATCCTGTTGATCCAATTTGGGGAAAAGTTGATGGTCGACTCAGTGACTGCAAGGTGCCCAAACCATCATTCTTCCACCACTGCGCTGACAGCTGGTATGAGGTGTTCGGTTTGTGCATCATGGATAAACATTTTCACTTTGTTACAGTCTTATGTCTTGTTCAGATGATACTTTCCAAACTTTAACCTTTATCATGCTAACTGAGGCCTGTAGGATCTGAGATGGCGTGGGTGGGTTTTACACGGTCTTAACTTCTTTACTTCTGAGAGGAATTAAAGAGTAAATACAAAAATATGGGGTAAATCTGATCAGACGTCCACTTCTGGGGAGAATGTGGTACTGAATTAACACAAACCTGAATTTTCCAGACCTGCAACCTGCAAAAACTTTAGCTTTTTGGTGCTTATTCGCAGATGATCAGGTAATAAAGTCGATTTGATTATCAGCACCTGGCTGCTACTTACAGTAATAATTCCTATTGGTGCAGTGAGGATGCACTTAATTTTTCACAGGACTGCACTTCAATATAAATAAATCATGGAGCAAAGGTAGTAGTGGTTATTGTAGTAGTTTTTCTACAATGCTAATCAGAAGCTAATCTTCTGTATGTTCTCTATAGTATCACAAATCCCTGTGTGATCATTTTGCTATCCTTCTCTAAACACTTCAGTAGTAAATGAACTATTTGACAGAACCAGATGAACGTTTCCTGTTTCCAGTCTCTCTGTAAGCGAAGCTTAGCCAAACTCACTGACCTTCCAGACGATACCACTGGAATCCGTTGGTGATGCCCTCCAGGAACGGCCTGCTGTCCATACAGAAGTTACCTCGGTACATGGAGGCGTGATTGTGGGAGTACTCCTTAGCCAGGTGAACAAACACGTCATTATCAGGAGCGATGCTAGCCCCGCCCACCAGTTCGCTACCTGTTTAAATGATGAGAGCAAAAGCCTGTGATTGGTGGTGATTAGTTGAGCTTTAGAATTATTTTGTTTCCAGTAGCACTTCCTGTTGCCTTTTCCTGAAGTTTTCCCCAAGTTTTTCTGTGTGTGAGTTTGCAGGCTGGTAAAGTTAAGGCAGTAACTCTGACTAAATGACTGTTTTTAATCGAATAGTTCTACTGAGCAGTTATAAATCTGATTATCTCGATTAACACACTTCATTTTCTGCATTTTGAAGTCAAAACAACAAATTCAAACAATACAAATACAAAACAAACAGGCTTTAAGCCATAGCGTTATGTGTTCCCACATAAACATCTGAAGTACAGGACTTAAAGAGTTTTGGCTGTTCAAATAAGAGATTATGAGAAGCTAGATTTATTCAAACTCAAAATCTCTTTTCTTTCTTTTTCAGAACAAGAGAATGAGCTTTTTATGAGCCGCACATTTTTTTTCTGCAGCTTATCCGAGTCCTGAAAGTATCCTAGTGCCTAAAATACCTCAACTGACTCCTCCAACAGGTTTTTAAAGCTCAGGTGTTTTATTAGATTTTTATTATTATTATTTCAGATAAAGGGAGAATAGCAAACAAATATTTTATTTTATGCTGAAAACTGGTGTTTAATATTCCTGTGAATATACCTTCTGGTCTAAGCCGTCCCTAATGATTGAGCGCTCCCTTTCTCTGCATTTGTAGTTTCTTTCTTTCTGTCAGTACCCTGAGCCCGTGGCCATGAGGTAACAAACTGTTAAATTAATATCTTTTCTTATTATTATTCCAGCTCTATTATCTTTGAAAATTATAAATATTCCACATCTAGCACATGAAAGAAAGCTACGCTCTTCTGTAGAGGTGCACTCATCACACATTCTCTGTACTTGTATATTTGTCTGGTGGGTCTGAGGGCCTATTTCCTGCTTTGCACTTTCCATTTCACATGCTGATATGAAGCAAATAAGAAGCTCCAAAAACATTCTACAAAGATCCACAAAAACACGACTGTGGGACTGTTGTGGACGACCAGCTAAAGTCAGACTGCTGGATCTGCCGCTTACCGCCGTTGCTGTTGTCATAGGGGTAACTGGCCACCACAGCGCCTCCATGAAGGTTTGCAGAGAGAACAAAACTCTCCGTCCTCAACCAGCCAATCACTGCTTGGACCTGAAACACATGATAGCATCCTGATGACAGAGGAAACTTAAAAACGCTGTCTCGTTCCAAAGCAAAACCAACCTCAGCTTCCCTTCTCTCCTCAAAGAGCTGCTGACTTTGGAGACCAGCGAAAGCATCCGGGAAGTCCCTGTTCAGATCAATGCCGTTGCCGTTGTACCTGACGGAGAAAAACGGTCACATCACGCATGAAAATGCTGTTTTCATTTCTGTATCAGGTCAGAGCACACAGCCTTCTTGGGTGGACTTCCCCCCTTGCCTGGGCAATTACAGTGAAATCAGGAGGGGTGTGACTTCACCTCTTAGTGCTAATCATAGTTTACCTCTTATATTTCTTGTCTATTTAAAAAACAAACTTTGAAAACTTTTTAAATTATAAGTCATTTAGTGCTGCTAAGGCTCCCTTGAGCAAGGCATACGTGTTAAAAATAGTTTCCATGATACTCTGAGTGTGCAGGATGAGAGTGTCTCTATTTAAAGAGCAGCTGCTGAGACACAAAATGATTTCTGTGCACAGACAGGCTGCCATCAGTTCCCTGTTAATTACTGACGATAAGAGATCACAAATATCTTTTTCATTGCGATCAGGCTGTTCTTGTCACTGCCATCTTCTGCTGCTTTTTTCAGACATTTACAGAAGGATCTGATTTTGTCAAGTTTATTTGAACACTACACAAAGGAAATCCAAACTCACAAACATCCTGTGTTCTACTGGGATTTGTTATATTTCAGATCAGAGCGAGGGCCGTCGAGGGGATCTCGATCGCATGACCCAATGACATCACGAGTCATGATTGACCTCACAGGACTCTAACGGAACTCAGAGCACTGACTTATTTAGAATCACATTTCTCTCATATTACAATTTGTCATTGTGCTGTCCCTTATTTTCTGTCATATCAATGGTGGAAGTTCATATTGAACAGGGCGATCGTGGCTCAAGAGTTGGGCGTTCGTCTTGTAATTGGAAGGTTGCCGGTTCGAGCCCGGCTCCGACAGTCTCGGTTGTTGTGTCCTTGGACAAGACACTTCACCCGTTGCCTACTGGTGGTGGTCAGAGGGCCCGGTGGCGCCAGTGTCTGGCAGCCTTGCCTCTGTCAGTGCGCCCCAGGGTGGCTGTGGCTACAATGTAGCTTCACCATCACCAGTGTGTGAATGGGTGGATGACTGAATGTCGTGTAAAGCACTTTGGGGTCCATAGGGACTAAGTAAAGCGCTATACAAATACAGGCCATTTACCATGATAAGTCGGGGTTTGCATAATACATTTTTTTTCTTTTGGCTCTGTATGATGTCGCATATTTATACTGAGGTTTGTGACAATAACTAGTTACTCTCGCCTGTCTTTCTCAAACCTAACTGCTTGTGGCCCCTCTCTAAACCTGTTACTGCTTGAGGTTTCTTCCTGTTAAAAAAACGTTTTTCCTTCCCACTGTTGCCAAAGTAAGACAAATGTACAAATACATTATAGAGCCTCTAATTTGTCACTTAGCACTAATTAGCAGATATTAGCTGCTTTGTTTATATTGTTGATATTGCATCTGCACAGTTTAGTTTAGCTAGCATTAGTGATAGGTTAGCACTAAAACCCCAAATGGTCACTTCTCACAAAAACCAACATGGAAGCAACAAAAATGCCAAAGCTGAGCCTTCAAAATACCAGAGTCTGAAACCAGTCAGTGATGTCACTATGGTCGTGTCGATCATTTATTTACTGACTATAGTTTCAGACCGTGGATGAGCGAAGTAGTTGCACTGAGGCTCAGTATGAGATAAATAAGGATTATTTTGATCTGTCAATCATGTAAAGCCGCTGTAGTGAAGTCCCAGAGTAGAAATATGTACCTTTTATCATAAAAGGCCTGCTCTGAGTGTCTTATGTCCAAATAATGATCCAATTCTTCTTTGAAATCTCAAAAGTGAACTTCTTCCCTCATCTACCTGAACTCTAGAAGAAAAGTAATTCATCCAATGGGACGACCCAAATCTTCTGGCACCTTTCTGTAGGAATTAGTGCCAGCATATTAAAACAAGACTTCACCATCTCATTTGTCATCTCACTCACTTTCATGTGCTTAAGTGAAATGTTTCCTTATAAGGTTTGGAAAGCAGTGACCCCAAAGAGACCACACACACACACACACACACACACACACACACACACACACACACGGACTAAACCTATATGGGAGGCAAGTCCACATAATGAGACTGTTCCCACAAGCAGTTACTGCAGACATGAGTCTACTGTAAACAGAATATATGAAGACGACGAAACAATCATAATTAGATGCTTACAGAGTATAATTGTGTGTGCATGTGTGTGATATAGATCTACAGTGTGTGTGTGTGTTTCTCTTGCCAATCAAAGTATTTTGGGTGCAGCAATGTAGCTTAGTCTTTACAAAAAAAACAATCTGTGACTGCAAGATTATGTCTGTGTCTCAACTTGTCATTTAATCACACCAAACACACAGACACACACACACACACACACACACCACACACCCACACACACACACACACACACACACACACACACACACACACACACACACACACGGACGCACGCACATACAAAATTATTCTTTGCAAAAGTTAAAGTGTGGGAAATATTTTCCAGCGTTCATGTTTTGTTATCAACGTGTTTATGCTAACAGTGGATCCCGTGAAGAGGGCTGCTGATGGTGCGTAGCCTCACTAATCCAAGGAACTTTACAGCCAGTCAGCTGTAACTAAGTGGTTTAAGTCAAGTACTGCCCTTAAGCATGTTCCTCACAAATTTGAGGAATGTAAACTTTTAATACTACTTCATAGTTATTAAATGCTGCATGAATTTGTAGCTTTGCCTCTAAAAATATGAAATAAGATAGCCTCTCATAAGTCACCATAGTCACGGGCTATTTCAGTTTGGAATCTGGCATTATTCGTTTGGACTACAAACCTAATCAACTGGAGATGGTGCAGGAAAACAACAGGATGTCCTGAAACACAGTGCACATCGTGGTGACAGGTGGTGTTCCTGCACTCAATGCTCCGCTGCTGATTGAGGAAGAAAACTGCAACTGCAGATCTGTTGATACCAGACTTGGAATGTCTCCATGTGTCTGTGGATGAGACGACTCCCGGCTGTGGAAGTGCATATAAAAACAGACTGCCTTTCAAGATACGCTGTTACAGCTTCCCAGAATCACAGTGACAGAAGATGCATTTACAGAGGCCAGGTCAGTCGCTGGGCAGCCTTTACTTTACAGGGGACAGTATTATATTTCCTACATATTCATTTTGTTTTGTGCAGTAAAAACAAGTGCAAGCTGTGCCTTTTAAAATCTGAAATCCATTTTAATATATCTGACATGATTTTGGGTGCAGTTATTTTTATTTATGTGGCATTAATTTTACTGTCTAGTAAAATTCTAAAATTTTTAATATTAAACTTTTTTTTTCTAACTTCAGTGATATTTCTTAATCTAAGCCCTGTTTAGCGTGCTGTCAGTACTTTAATTACAGAAGAGGATCTGTATACTTTGTCCAGCAATGCTTTTAGCCAGCAGCAATGTTTTTCCCGCAGCAGGCAGCGGCTTTCAGTTGTCGAGGCTCTAAAAAGCCACCGTACGTGACCTGCTGAGCAGCCAACAGCAGGGTACATCAAAGACGAGCAGGTGAACACAGCCGAGCATTTAGCAGCTACAGAAGCAGATATGTCCCTCAGGAGGGAGTCATGCATATTGCATGAGCATGCAGCAAATAAAGCTCTGAGTCCTCAACAACGGCTCATTTGTTCTCTTGTACAATTTCACTTCCTACTGTTTCACTTAAGAGGTTAGTTCATGCCTTTGAGTTCATCATTAGGGGTTTTTGCTAAAATACACACTGCACACAGAGAGCAACACAATCAACAGTGTTCAATCTCTCTTTTAGTTCTGTTTTTGGTCTCCACCTCCCAGTCAGGAAACGTCTGTTTGCCGTCTTAATGTTTTACCAGCTGCTGATGAGCACAGGGTGTGCCGCAGGTCTCTCGGAACTTAAAACAGAGGTAAAGCTGTTTGCGTTACCTGCCCTGGCTGTTGTAGCAGTCCTTGTCTGCTACGTCAAAGCCGTCTGGGTTCATCGTCGGCAGGATGTGGATGCGTGTGCTGTTCAGCAACCGCAAGGACCATGTTTCGTTGCTACGGTAACTGCGCACCAGCTCATCTATTAGCTGAAGGAGCAGCACTCGCCCAAGAACCTGAAAGCACACGAACACAAACACGCAGAAAGAAATTTAGGTAAAAACAAATGTTGTGATGGAATTTACGGCTTGTCCTCACACATAAGTCATAAGTGAACAGCACAAAGTTTAGATTATGCATTATGCAAGATTCATATTTAGAAAAATGGGTGAACAGATGTTAGTGCAGGTATGGTCAGCCAACTGTGAAGTAATCACTTCCACTTCCGCCAATATAACATAATGTCTTTCCACCATAACGAAAGACATTATGTTATTCACCTCCCACATGCAGCTGGGCCATTCCCATGGCTTATCGTAGAGCTAAAACACCCGTCAAGGTCAGTCCTCCTAAATACTCCACTGAGACTAACCTTTGACTAACACACGAAGAACATGACTACATATGAAAAAGAGTAGAAAAGATGATGTTTCCAGGGTTAATCTGAGTATCTGAATGGGTTAATTAATGGAATAGAATAGAATAGAATAGAATAGAATAGAATAGAATAGAATAGAATAGAATAGAATAATCCTTTAATTGTCCCACAAGGGGAAATTTGGTTGTATCAGCAGCAAAAACACACATATACAAACAGAACAGAAACACATTTTTTACATATTTACATCATGGACAATAGTTACCAAAGCAGAGTACTGTACAGTTATTAAAATTAGAGTACAGATAAGTGGCTAACCCAGGTTGTAGTGTGCAAACAGAGCAGGATACTGAAAGATGTTTAAATAGTTAAGAATATTTAGAATAATTAGAAAAGTGCAGATTGTGTATTGTACCTGTGCATTAAAAAGTAGACATGTAACTTCCAATAAGTTAGTGCATAGATAACCTGAGAAAAGTAATATGCAAGTTATAACAGTAGAAGTTGTTACAGCACTGATGTAAACCTCTGTTTGTTGGGAGCAGTTCTGATTGTACAGTCTGACAGCTGCAGGGAGGAAGGACCTGCGGAAACGCTCCTTCATGCATCGAGGATGCAGCAGTCTGTCACTGAAGGAGCTCTGCAGCTCAGCAACATTTACATGCATAGTGTGGGAGGCTCTGTCCATCAGAGAAGTTATTTTGGCCAGAGTCCTTCTGTTTCCCACCACCTGCACTGGATCCAGGGTGGATCCCAGAACAGAGCTGGCCTTCTTAATGAGTTTATCCAACCTCTTCCTCTCAGCTGTCGATAAACTGCTGCTCCAACATACAACACTGTAAAAAATAACGGATACCACCACAGAGTCATAGAAGGTCTTTAAAAGCGCTCCCTGGACTCCAAATGACCTCAGCCGCCTCAGCAGGTAGAGTCTGCTCTGACCCTTCCTGTAAAGAGCATCAGTGTTGTGGCTCCAGCCCAGTTTATTATGAACGTCAAGTTTACGCCAAGTTTACGGCTGTCCAGGGTCCATTTTGGCTTAATGGATGGTTCGCAAAGTTTGCAGTGAAAACCGCAGTGAAGTCAATCAGTTCAGCTTTCCTTTAGTGATATGTGTGGAAAGTTTAAGTATTAAGTGTGGAAAGTTTAAGTATTTCCAGGTGAGGACATTACGTTTAGTTGCAAAATTGGAAATGTGCTTTCAGTATAGTGACATCAGACTCCGTTAATGTGGATAACTACAGAGCCCCGCAGGGGACATTGGAGAAAAAAAAATTAAGACGGACTTTTGCGAGATCTCGCAAAACAAACTCGGGATCTCGCAAAACTTTTGCGAGATCTCGCAAAACAAACTTGGGATCTCGCAAAACTTTTGCGAGATCTCGCAAAACAAACTCGGGATCTCGCAAAACTTTTGCGAGATCTCGCCAAACAAACTCGGATCTCGCAAAAGTTTTAAAGTTTAAAAGTTTTAAACTGGTATCACATGGAAGTACAGGCAGACACAGTCTAAGTTCTTTTCAGTTGTTAGCTCTTCAATAATTATATAAATTTCTTTAACACGAAGAAATGTTTATTTTCATTGTTTAACAGCTTTAGTTATTTTTTTTTATTTAGAGTGGTTTATTTTTCCTAAACTTTACAGTGCATTGCTTTCACTTTATTGGGCTAAAAGTTTAGCATTTAATTTCACTCCACCATTCTTTGTTTTCTGTGTGTTGACCTTGCATGTTCCTGCCTGAAGAAAACAGCGGGGGAGGAAGTGATGTCGTGAGTCAGTGAGGAATTGAAATGGAATCCAGGGACGAGTCATGATGAGGCATTTTTTCCGGATACAGGCGGCTTATTGGACGATGAAAAACATCTTTGTGAATGAATGAGAGCCTTGGGAGTGGGAATGACAGAAGGGTGGGAAAGGTGTGTATCCAAAACCACATCACACACACACACACACACACACACACACACACACACACACACACACACACACACACGTCAGGACTAGCGCTGCCTCCAGCCATCATATTGCTTTCCTTCATCAAACTCCCTCCATCTTTTGTCTCTGTTGCCATCACACGAAAACACACATTTTTATTTTTGCATCTTTATACTGTGATTTATCTTTTTACTTTATATCAGCTGAACATCACTGACACGCTCTGTTAGGTTAGGCAACTGTTCCTTCATCAGGGTCGGCGTGGAGCCAGTTTTCAGTGCGGGCAATTTCATCCACCAACACTTTTTTCATGGTCGAAGAAATTTGATATCTACTGTTAGCTCTGGCTTTACTGTGTTTTGTACAATCAACATGTTCCTTATCAGTCTCTACGGCAACACTAACTCGGGGATAATTGGCCTTTGACGAGCTGCTCTTTGCTGCTCTTCTTTCTGTGCTAAATGGCGCTAAAAAGTCAGAAAGCAGAAACCATCACATAGCAGCTGCTGATTCAAGCACTCAGGAGGCCCAGGTCAGTCTCCACAGAGAGAAGGGCACGCCCTGCAGCTGTGAGCAGCCACGCCTCGAACAGCAACTGTTGGTGCTATATAAATAAAACTGAACTGAACTGAACAACCAAATGGAAGAGTTTAAAAAAAAATCCCCTATAAAGATGATGCGATAGAGGACAAAACAGGTTTGTTTTCAGCAGGGTATAAACTTGTCTGCTGTAAATAAGGGCATTTTAACATCGAAATTTATTCATCCAGTCACCCCCAAGCAGTCGCGGCAGATGGCCACCCTCCCTGAGCCTGGTTCTGCTGGAGGAGTTTTTCCTTCTCACCATCGCCAAAGCGCTTGCTTTGATTGTTGGGGTTGTCTCTTTTTTCTTTGTATTATTGTACGATCTTTTCCTGACAATACAAAGTGCCCTGAAACAATTGTTGTTGTGTTGTTGTTATTCAGTGCTATATAAATAAAATTTAATTTAATATTGGAACTGACTCTCTGCTAGACCCTCAAATAGTCATTAGAGGAACAGATTTCGGCCTCCCTTCATCCCTTTCTGTGGGCACAGGTGATATCGGCAGTTGACAGCGGATCTACTCTAGATTGTGTTTCTTGGGCTTCACTTGAGCAGTTTTGCATGTTTCACAGTTCCCTTCACATTCTGTCTTAAATAGGCTGTGTTTAAATGAACGCACCTTGAAGTTTTATTCTCTCCCTATGACATCATCCAGATCCATGAGTAGAAAAAACATCTGAAATGAAGCAGTGTGAGGCTTGAGCTTTTGGCTTACACACACTGACCTCATTATTTGAAACTCTGCCCCCCCATATCTCTGCAGTTTAGAAAATGGGAAATAAGGGCAGTGATTTACTGAACTAGGTAAATGTAAAGGAAAATATCCCAAGTAAGTATATGCTTAAAAAAGTCAAAGGTAGGTCCAATCTAATTACTGATATCTTCAAATCTAGCAGCCATTATTGGATGAAACCAAAACATATGGTGGTGTTTGCCACCCATACAGTTCATGTGTCACTGAACAATTCCTCCAACAAGTTTAGATAACAAGATTAAAGCCGTCCAGCCGTGTTTATGTGACCTAATGTTGAGTGAAGCTGAGGTGAACCGCAGTGTTTGTCTACAACTTGCAGCTGAGCTTCCCTGGAAGACAAGAGGAACATGAACACCTGAGGCAAATTCATCAGGATTCATCCTTCAGGGAACAGAAATGTCCAAAATCACACTGACATCGATCCAAGAGTAGAAATCACTTTTGAGGAAAGAAACGTGAACTCTCAGTGACACTGTAGGAAAATACTTTCACTTTAAAATCAGGATCTATCCCCTGGGGAACATGAACATCTGTGCAAAAGCTGTTGAGTCATTTAGGATACGACAGATATTGTCATTAAAAGAGTCAAAAAATAGAATTAGATTAACAAACAGGCTTCTAAGTGAATCCAAAGAAAGGTCAGTGCAGCACACTCAGTGTACGAGGTTAATGTGTGAAAGGAGGAAGTGCCTCCTGTTTAAAGTTTTATTATTGTCCTTCAGGCAAAGTTTAAAGACGCTGAAAGTTCTCTGTTTGATTTAGTGTTACTAAACATTTCTAACACGCAAGACTGCATTCCTGCTGCTGACATGATTCTGCCATGCCATGATGGCTGTTTGTATTTTGCACATCTGAGCACCAATGACAGAAACATCCTCCGACCTCTTGCTCGCTCACTCAGAGTTTCTGTCATGCGGTGGATATACGATGGATGTTCTTTGCTTCCTGCACTGCAAACTTTACTAAACAACTGTTTCCAACTTAAAGCGCAGCTTAAAATAAATAGGACGTGAAAAAGAAAGTACACCCTCTTTCACTTTAAGCCCTCGGTTAATAAAAACAGTCATCTGGTCCTTAAGTCTATCATTCTACACCTCAAAGATCAGACAGTGCAACGCTCAGAGATACTGCAACAAACTCCAAGAGCTCCACCTCAGACTCTAAAGGCCTCAGTTAGCATGCTAAATGTTAAAGTTCATGACAACACAAGTTAGAAACAAACTGAGCAAGTATGTTTTGTTTGGAAGGGTTGCAGAAGAAAGCCTCTTCTCTCTAAAACAAACATGAAAGCACGGCTTTGGTGTGGAAAAACACATCAGGACAAACTGCAACACTTCTAAGTGGAAATCTTTGTCCATGATGCAAATCACCCGAGGAAGCAAAACACCTCATACCAGTTCTCAGCACGGTAGTGTGGGGATGATTTGGGCACCTTACAGTCATTGAGTGGACCGTAAACTTGTATAGCAAAGTATTCTAGAGTCAGTGTGAGACCCACAGCAGTCAGCAGTTATTATTGCTAAAAGCGTCTCAACAAGGTGCAGGATGTAATTTGTTTCTCACACAGTGATTCTGCATTGTAGTTTAGTTTTGTTGAATAAATGATGACACAATGTCAAATGTTGGGTTGTTGCTAATCTGAGGTTGCTTTTAAATAACTTCATATTTACACTTTTAATATAATTTTCTCCTCCTGTGCGTTTCCTTTTAGCTCTATAACGTGTTGTTGTTGTTGTTTTTGTACATATTTTGCATCAAATACACTAAATATGTAATAATAAATATGTTTCATTTTCAGAATGCTTCAACCTGCCCCTGTGCTATGTGATACAGAAATTAGCTGGAAGTCAGTGTGGGGAAAATAAAGATGCGATAAAATGAAGATACAATAAAATTTGTCTGTCTGCCTGATCAAGCAAGTCAGAGTTTCTCAATGTTGATCAGTAGAAGCTGTGGCAGAAAGCATGTGAGCCTCACAGGAAATATACTCTAGTCAGAAACTCCTGAGTACTCACAGACAGTGCACGCTACACGACACCTTTTCAGCATTCCCATTCGCCACCCTGCTGTTTCCATGTGTATGTATGGGGCCGTATTCCTCTGAGCCGATATACTCCACTGGTTCTGTTTGTGCGTGTGTGTCCAGGCGTAACGTGTCTATTTAAGGACACTTCCATTGACTTTCACACACATTTGCAGTGTGATCAGCTGTCCACTGTCACCATGGCAACCTGACACTGGTCAAATGTTTTAGTCTGGTTTTTAAGGACATTCATGCAGACTCAATTTGTCTCATCCCAATGGAATTATTAGACTATTAAATGATGGTTGTAATTACATTGTGTTATTAGAATAACCTTTGTGTTAACAGTTTGAATGTCTTCTGTGTTCTGTTCAGTCAGAACAAGTTCAGAACAAAACTTGTTCTGACTGGAATAAACAGAGCTTGTCTATTTGTTGATTAGTGGTGCCACAGATTTCATCACACTGATGACCTAACTCTGGCTGAATGTGCTGTGTAACACCACAGATCAAGCAAATCAGTTTCCTCTAAGAACAAAAGTTTGAAACTTTTGCACAAAATCTGAGAATTGTCAGGTTAAAAATGCAGATAAGGTGTTTTAGTTTGTAAAAATGTCTCTCAAAGGTCAAACACTCAAATACTGCATACTGTCAATAAGAATAAAAGCTAACTGAATTACCTGTGTACTCTTGCGAAGAAGCAAATAAAATAAAAAGTCAACTGTAATTTTTTTATCTGCAGAACTGCACAGATTAAAGGTCTCAGTGCCCTGCTGAGCTTTTCATCTGTACACTTCTACATGGGAGCAGCAAGGCAAGGCAAGTTTATTTCACAATTCAACAACAAGGTGATTCAAAGTGCTTTACAGAGACATTAAAAACAAAAACAAATAAAAAGCACGATTTAAAATTGATTAAAAAAAACAAAAAAAACCCAGCGTCAACTCTTCTCAGTTTTTAGGTGGTAGAATCTGGTCTACCAGGTCAATGTCAAAGTGTTTGCTGGGTTTAATAAGAAACGTTTAAAGAAATATAAAATATTATATTAAAGTTTCCTTAAACCACTTCTGTCTGTGCTCAAAGAGCTGTGCGACCAAAAATCCTGCATAATGCTGTTTTCCTGTTTAGGTTGTTGCTAGACTGAATCACCTGAAGGATGCTATGCTGTGATTAGCTTAGATGTTGTTTGCTGCACTTCACTCTCTCCTGATTCGAGTTTGGTGTGATCAATCCACCTGTGCATACAGTTGTAATTATGAGTGTTGCTTTGTGATGTGGTTAAAAGGAGGTTGTTCATGCTTGTTTTGTGGTCAGAAGAAGTGAAGCATCATATAGGGTTGTTTTCCTCTAAACATCCACCAGGTCATTGAGACGCCGACTAAGGGTGGAGTTGGGTTTTGGCCTCATCCTAAATGAGCAAATCTTCAAAAACTTGAAAATGCCATCTTTCAGATCATGTGTGTTACATAGCGTGACAGACACAAGCCACACCTCCAATCCATTTCTGTTATAAAACGGATGAGTGAGGCATTCAAAGTCAACTAACTGTCAAATCCTTATGTTCTCTATACTATGAGCTTCATTCAGATGTACAATAGCCATTCATATACATATAATAAGAGACACTTTTTTCCATTACAGCTATTCCCAGTTACTAACTGACCTGCCTAAGTATACAAAGAACCTGAGATTAGTGTTTCTTGATTCGGTTGATTCGGCACACTGTCCATTTCTATCTGAGAATTATGCAGGTCATCACACACTCTGTTGTCCATACACAAAGGAATCCACGGGCTCTGGACTCTGAATGGCTTTTGTTGATCTCTTTTGTGCTCCTTTAGTCCTGCTTCCTGTTAAAAGGGAGTGGCACTCTTCTGTGTGTGTGTGCGTGTGTGTGTGTATTGTCTTACCTCATTTCCATGCATGTTACCCACATATTTGAACTCTGGGATGCCAACTGTGTGCTGGTGAGGACTGACACCCAAAGCCAACACCCACAGCTGCTGACCTGAGAGACACGCAGAGCAAACAGAGCCTTCAGGAGCTAAGAGTTACAGTTTGTGCTGCTCACATCTGCTTAAAATTGAACATGATGTGCACTGAGAGATAAAAATATGTAATTAGGTAACGGTTCATTGTCACCTGGGTTAGTTAAGAATGCTAAGAAACGCACCCCAGCATGCACAAAAATATTAGCTACAGCAAAGCTTTTCACACTTAAGAGTGACAACATGCAATAAAAGCAAGTACACACAAAATATGACAGAAACCAGCAATAAAAACAACAAAACAAATAAAACTCTGAATGTCCACCCGGTCTCCAGAGACCTGCTTCTCTAAATTTGCTGTGAGCGTTCACAGCTGACAGACTGACTGAGGAGAAAAATGAATTACAATATTCAATATGGTCAACATTCAGTACTAAGAAAGTAAGCAGCAATTCAAAACATGTGAACATAAAAGTGCTCTCTCTCTTCACATCCAGTGACTCTGTTCTGTCCACATAATTATCCCATGATGCCTTTCTGCCTGCATCCTGTGAATTACTGCTATCTGTTGTCTTTGGAGGTCAGTTTGATGATAAGCCACCAGAATCCATTCTTGCAGGGCCCTCCCTGTGTCCTTAACAAATTCTGGAGCCTTCAGATTAGTATGCACTACTGTGTAAAAGTCCACTCCTTATTTCTTTATATTATTAATTGTCCAGTTATGTATTAAAAATTACAAGGTCCACAGTCCAGTTAAGTAAACAGTAGAAAATTAATTATCACTCCACCAGATCTGGTTCACTGACTTTCAGTCCAGTTTTTTATATTTTAACAATTTTTATATCAGGCTATAAGCTTGATTATTTCTGCTGTAAAGTTGTTCATTTTAAGAGTCTATGGGAACTAGAGAAACTGCAGTTGCGCATTTATTCCCCTGTTCACTTCCATTTTATTTCTGGAAACATCTGGAATACCATTTTACTTTAAGGTCAGTTTTAGATACGTTGAAGGGAGAGGAACACTAAATGTTCAGCTTGTCCATCACCACGTATCCATGCCAAACAGCACTCTGCTTTATCACACATTTGACCTTATATGGAGACAAAATTTACAAAATGAGGGTTGTGATTTGTTAAAAACCGTGAAACTGAGGCTCATAATGAGATATGAGGAAGTGGGAATCGGGCTCATTTTCTCATGTTTCAAAATATATATATGTTTTTTTCTTGTTTTGAAACCAGAGGAGTCGCCCCCTGCTGGTTAGAAAGAATCATATCAATGCATCTTTCACGTGTTTTACGTGAAACTTTTTTAATGTTTGCAGTAAACTAAAGGTCAATAAATAATCTTTATCTGCTGTATTAGAAGAAGAAACTAAAATAAGTTAATATTTTTAATCAAAGGCTTTAATTCCTCTTTGCTCTTTCAGTGTCTTTGAACTCTGTGCTTTGGTTTGGCAGCCTGCAGTTTTGAGGTTTAAATTTTAACTCTGTCAGTTAGTCAGTTTCCTCACAGGCACACACACCCACCCACACACACTTCTGTAACTGTACTGCCAGTACTACTGGTTACTCAATGAATGAAACTACAAGTCTCAACAAGCCAGGAACACACACTCACGTAAATCACGGCAAAGTGTGACTCAGTCATCAGAGCAGCAGCCTGAGGGAAAAACTGACTCATTGCACAAAGACAAGATGAGACTGAAAAATGCATAAACACACTCGGGCTGGACGGAGGCCAGCTGGTGTCCCAGATTAGCTCAGATTAGCTCTGTGTGTGTGTCAGATTAAGCAGTCTGGGATTAAATTAGAAACTATTTACTGTCCAGTCATGCGATCCACCAACAGATAGATCCAGGTCAGTCAGTCATTGGTGGTGGGTATAGAGGCGGATGCCCGATGCTTCATCAATTATCCATCATTCCTATTGTGGCATCTACATGTAAGGGAATCAGTCTAAGAACAGGTTGTGTTTCAAAGCTTTATGATCACCTAAATCTACATCTGCTGTACTGTATTTCCTGCAGTCGCCTCAAACGGAATTCATTGTTACTCACTTTTTGTCAGACATTTAATGTTAAATGGATGAAATTGTCATTTTCTTTTTCCAAACCAATAAGAATTGCACAAATCGTGGTCTGGGATAATTGTTCTGCTGGAAAAATGAAGGTGCTGGCAATCAGATGCTCTCCAGATGGTATTGAAAGCTGGATCAAAATCTGGTGGTACTGCATTTGTAATTTCATTAAATTTGAGAAGATCAACATCACTGGTTGAAATGAAGCCCCAAACTGAGTCACACAGAGTGTCCATTGTTTTGTACAGATGGCTGTAGACTCACACTGTTGGATCTCTACTCCTGACCTCCTCTGTACATACTCACATGTGCAGATCACCTGAATAAAATTAGTAGGTCATTAGCAAGACTCTATAGAACTTGACTGCATGCTGAGGTGGCAACCCGTAACCCTACCTACTCAAATAAATGTAACTGTTTGGAAATTTGTACTTCTAAAAGTACTGTTGTTGCAACATGTTAATTCACTCATGAGCTGCTGTAACACAAATCAAATGGCTAAACTGCCACCTCAGCATGCAGTCAAGATCTATAGACTTGCTAATGACCTATTAATTTTATTCAGGGGTGTTGTAGCAGGGACACTTGTGCTTGACACTACGTGCTTGCCGAAGCAAGCACGTAAATTGGATACGATACAGAGAAGATTAGCATGGCCCCTGTGCAAGGATGACACGCAAATTCGTGTAGCAGGGACACATGTTAAAATTTAAGGACACCGGGCCTGGAGGACTGGAGTTTGACCCGTGTGCTTTAGAGCAAGTCTGGCTTTTTAGCAGCAAGTCCAAGACTTGCGCAGCACAATATATGATACGCACACAAGAGAAAATTGTTAAGAGGGTGTTGTGTTGCAGGATTGTGAAAGGTTGTCTTCTAATATTTGGAAAGTAGGAAGTCCCATTATGACCTAATGTCTCATCTCAGAATGTAAAAAAACCTGAATTTGTTTCAGAAGTGAAAGTTTAGTAGATGAAGATTTAAAGTATTCATGTTTCAAATGTTCAAATGCAGATGACTGTGATTAGACAGTGGCCAGCTTCACACAGACTGATTTTGCTCATACTTTTAGAAATATAAAACCAGCCAGCGATATTCATTTATGAGGCATGTTTCACAGACAGGAGGATAAGAAGCAATTAATAATAAACAGGAGAAATATATACAAAACAAAAGAAAAGGCTACGGAGCCCCGCAAGGGACATTGGAGGAAAAAAAATTAAGATGAACTTTTGCGAGATCCAGAGTTAATTTGGTGAAATCCTGCAAAAGATTTTGTGAGATCTCGCAAAAGTAACTCAGGAGCTATGTCCCAATCCCTAGGCTGCATCCTTCGGAGGCCGCATTTGAAGGCCGATTATGTCACAGCCAGGCGATGAAGGCTGTCCCAATTCAAAGTCTCCAAATGCGGTTCATTTCCCCGAATTTGAAGGATGGGTCGAATATTTCTTTCGTGGCCCAACCTATCCCAGAATTCATGGCGCGGCCCATCCAATTCCAGTTACCAACAATTGGGGGCAGCTCCGTAGTTTTAATATTACTCTTTCTGGGTCACAAAATAAACTTTCAAGATATTTGAAAATGTGTGTGAATGTGTGTGTGAATGGGTGGATGACTGGATATGTAAAGCGCTTTGGGGTCCTTAGGGACTAGTAAAGCGCTATATAAATACAGGCCATTTACCATGTAGGTGTGTAACTTCAAATATCTGCTTGATTTATCAAGACATCACATATTTGCAAAAGTGCTCCAATGTTTTTTGAGATGTCTGTTACCCACTAGCTCAATAGCTAGTTGGGGGGTTCAAGGCTTACTAAAGCCGGCGAGAACAGTGGACTTCCAGCACACCATTTTCAAAACCCCTGCAACCTTTCGCTACTCAGATTATGATATATAAGTCACTTAGGCAACTTAAAAATGTTATTGTTTGGCTTTTTTCAGTTTTTTATTTGTTCCTCAGTAAAACAGTTTGGCTGAGATTAAAGTTATAGTTTTCACACAGCTAAATAAACGTCAAACAGAAAACTGATTAAACAGAAGTGTGAGATGGTAGCGAATTTACGCCAGTGTCCCGTTATATTTTAGATAGCAAGGAGCAGATAACTGACACAGGTGGTGGCGCAAATCTGAAGGCTAGACCGTCCCATTTCACAGCCTCGCACTTCCAGCCTTGTCAGTCTTCGGAGGACCAGGCCTTCGTGGTCTACATGGGCCGTGTCCTTCGAAGGATGTGGCCGGGATCTTGCTCCTGAGTAAAAGTTTTGCGGGATCTTGCAAATCTTCATCTTCATTTTTTTTCTCCAATGCAAAAGGACTCCATGTGTGGTTGTGCAAGTCATTAATACAAGACATTAATGTATGCAGTTTTGTATATCAAATGCAATGAAATATAGAGAAAGTTAGAAACATTTCTTGATCTTGACAAACTGAATCATGAAGAGAACAAAAAAGATTATTGCAGCAGAAATAAAATATCCCGGTCTGTCAGTCGAGCTGAGAAAGCTGAAACGGGTCACTTTTTAACCAGATTCGGTTCATTTTCATTTCTGCAGCACCGGCTTATAGCAGCAGCTGCCTCAGCCTCAAACCTCAACACTGTTTACACATTTGGCAAAATTACCTTTTTAGATTCTTTCACTGAACTGCTGCTGGGTGGATATCCCTTAAATAAGAGCTCCTGATCTCAAAAAAGCCCCAAGACATTGGCACAGGAACAATAACCTCCTTTATTCTTTTTTCACCGTATCTGATAATGGCTATCAAAACAAAAAGACTTTAATAAAAAAAAGCTAAACACATGGCTGTTTGGGAAGTCTTCACGAGGAACACATCCGCCCAGGAAATCTTGTTATTGTGATCATCACAAATTGTCATTTCACACCTTTTGTCATTTCAACTCCCAACTAAGTCTCAGAATTACAGGTGGGACAGGAAGCAGCAGGAGCAGGGTTACCTTTTGAAGACTGGCCGATGCTGTACAGGTGTGTGATGTCAGGATTCGAGGTGCTGACCTGCTTGAGGTACTGCTCAATCTCATGGTTGTTGTGATACCGAAACTCCAACGTCCAGGCGGGTGTGAAGAGGAAGAAGGGAGGGAGGAGGAAGAGGAGTGATAACATCACTGCAGTAAGACCTGTGGAGGGAAACAAAAATATTTTCAAAGTAAATGAAATAATTTAAACATCTTCACTGACATTCTACTCATTTTTATAAGTTTTTATAACTCTACATAAACAGATAATCAATGATGTTCATGCACAGAGTCCTTCTTGAAACAAGTCTCACCACCTTTAAATGTTTCTGGGCAATTATTTGGGCAGTTAAGTTTAAGCTTTCTGTAAATTAACTGTAATTTCAGTGGTTACCTCCACATAAAAATGCATGTATATAATCATAATAAGGTTTGACTTTGCCAAAAAATTAGCTTTTGAAATTTTTTCCTCCTGGATGTTATACTTCCAGAAGAAAAAACAGCTTTGCTGCTGCATAATCCTCCTGTTCCTCGAGAGCCATACCTCCCACTTATAAAGGCTTTGCTTGAAAATAAAGGACTCCAACATCCTGAATTTTAAGGGATTTTGTTAGCATCACATCACTGTTCAGTATTAATTCTCAATCTCAAGAGAAAGAAGCAGGTAAGTCTTCATCTAGTTAAACCAGTCATATAAAACACTGGTAATGTTTTATCTCAGTAGATCATTAATCCAGTGAGGAGACAGTTTGTAGGATTACATTAGATGACTCTGTATATTTCTTGTTGACTAAGTTGTGCCATTTAAAGATTTTTGGTTGAATTAAAAAGGAATGTTTGAGTTTAAATGCAACAAAACACTGAAACCTACCAAATAAAACACCTAATAAGACAATATCAGGGAGCAACAATAATAATTGTTATTATTATTATTATTATTATTATTATTATTATTATTATTATTATTATTATTAATAACAATAATAATAATAATAATACATATTATCGGATGATTAGCGAGACACAGTGAAGTTAAACTGCAATTTATACATTTTATAAATGTCCTTATTAATCTAATAAACATAAGAGAAACAAATATTTAAAAATATTTTTGTGAAAATAATAGCAACAAAACAAGGAAGAAATAAACAATTTAAAATATTAATATATTTAAAAATACATTCTAGTCAAATTCTGAAGGTACTGTTAGTTGTAAACATCACCACCGTGAAAGTGCTGTTTAAAAGAGAAGTAACACAGAGCGTGAACGCGTTTGAGGTCAAGTCTGGGACTGTCAGGTGAGCAGAGACGGTCTTACCTGTCCCCGCGGCTCCGAACAACACCGGCAGAAAGACGAACAGATAGCCGCTGCGCTCCTCTCAATGAGTGTTACTCATTCACCATCGGGTCTTCGTCTCACTCCGCGGGAGGGGCGGAGCTTGGAGAAGTGTGCGTGTATGTGTGTTGGGCGCAGGCGCAGGTTGTCGGCAGGTTTGTGAATGAAACAGAGCGATGATTCATGCAATCTGCTCAAAGAGGCTCACATGAGTAGATCTGAAAGTGTGGTTGACAGCGACGGAAGCAAAAAATATCCAAATGCATTCAAATGAAGAGGAAATGACAGAGGAAGTAGGCGTCCAGCAAAGAGAGAGCAGGCAAAGAAAAAGGCTTCTAGTGAGCTGTGTGTTAGGATGGACACTGAAGAAGGAGAAAAGGAATTGTATCTATTGGCTCAGCAGAGTGAGCTGGAAAGGATGTGCAGCAGGTTAGAGTGATTAAGGATGGAGAAAAAAATGTAAGGAGTGAAGAGACTGTGCTGAGAAGATGGAAGAAGACTAATAAGACTAATAAGAAAGAGTCTTTTTCTCTGAGTCTTTGTTCTTTTTGCTGAGGAGGCTGAATGAGTCTTGGAAGAGTTAAAAGGGTCCTTAAAATAGCTGTAGGAGTCTTAAACAAATTGAGTTGAAGGGGTTGTAAAGATGTTGAGGAGATTGTAGGGACTTCAAAGAGGCTGTATAGGGGCATGCTCTTCTTATAAGGGGTCTTGAGAAAGGTGTTGGTATTGCTGCTGAGATTGTAGTTCTTTTTTTTTTTTTTTTTTTTT